CAGTCTGGCTCTATGGCCAGGCTGCAGTGCAATGGCACAATCCCAGCTCACTGCAACTTCCGTTTTCCGGTTTCAAGCAATTCTCCTGCCTCAGCCTCCCGAGTAGCTGGGACTACAGGGACGCACTGCCATGCCCGGCTAATTTTTTTGTATTTTTTAGTACAGACGGGTTTTGTATTTTTTAGTAGAGACCATGTTGGTCAGGGTGGTCTCGATCTCTTGACCTCATGATCCGCCCGCCTCGGCCTCCCAAAGTGCTGGGATTACAGGCGTGAGCCACCGCGCCTGGCCTCAAGTTCTTGATTCTAGTCCAGTGAAGGCCTGTGCCACCTCTATCCCCTTACAGTTCCATTTCCCCCTTTCCCAAATGTCCCCTGTGTCCGTCTTCAGAGTTCACCCCCTATTATCACTGTCACATACAAGGAATTCTAGCCCTCTCGGCCCCCCAACACACACATCCATCTTGGTTCTCTTTTTCCTCCTTTCTCCAACCGCAGGTACCCCCCTCACTTTAGCCCTGTGTGGCCAGCGCCCCATGCGCAAGCGTCTTTCTGCCCCAGAGTTGCGACTGAGTCTGACTAAGGGGCCTGGAAATGATGGAGCTTCGCCCACCCAGTCTGCACCTTCCTCTCCTGATGGGAGTTCTGACCTGGAAGTAGACGAATTAGAGACACCTTCAGACTCGGAGCAGCTGGACAGTGGACACGAATTTGAATGGGAAGGTGGGAAGCAAACCAGAGGACCCAGAGCTGGTAGAAGTAGAGGCTAGCGCTAAAGGATCAGGATGGACTTAATGGGACTGCAGTTAGAACTAATAAGGTGGAGACCAAGAGCTACCGCCAGCAAAATTGGTTTCCTCAAATGAAAGAGCAGGGCTTATAGGTCCAAAGTGAGAGTAGTCATAGACGGGGAGGGGAGCCCTTGGTTTATTAAGGAAAATTTAATTGAATGCCTGTTATATACTGTCATGTATAGGACTGGGGTTATAAAGATGAAGAGAGGCCCTACAGGGAATTCTCTGCTTAGTAGGAAATAAACATGTATACAAATAATTGCAGTTAAAAGTTATGATCTATATATGTATAGGGTACGGCATAGGCAGGGAGAAGGAAAAGGTCACTTCTGCCTGAGAGATGTTAGGAGAGGCTTTGTGAAGGAGGTGATTCTGAGCTGAGTGTTGAAAGCTGACGCTGGTCAGGCGTGGTGGCTCACTCCTGTAACCCCAGCACTTTGGGAGGCCAAGGAGGGTGGATCACGAGGTCAGGAGTTTGAGATCAGCCTGATCAACATGGTGAAACCCCATCTCTACTAAAAATACAAAAATTAGCCAGGCATCATGGCATGCGCCTATAATCCCAGCTACTCAGGAGGCTGGGACAGGAGAATTGCTTGAACCCAGGAGGTGGAGGTTGCAGTGAGCAGAGATCACACCACTGCACTCCAGCCTGGGCGATAGAGTGAGACTCCATCTCAAAAAAAAAAAAAAAAGAAAGCTGAGGCTGATGGTTATCAGGTAGTTGGAGACAGGGCATTCTAAGTAGAAGAAGCAGAAGCAACGAAGCAATAGTATGGCATGTTGGGGAATTCAAAGTATGAAGCATGACGATTTTAATGTGAAGAGCTGGGAGGTGAAGAGAGAATGACAAAGGCTCGTGCTGCTGGGCTAAGTAGGCGAAGGTCAAATCATGGAAGCCCTTGCTGCCATGCTAAGGAGTTTAGGTTTTATCTATAGACAACAGGGAGTCATGATAAGTTTTTGTTTTTCATAGAGTCTTACCCCATCGCCCAGGCTGGAGTGGAGTGGTGCAATCTCGGCTCACTGCAACCTCTGCTTCCTGGGTTCAAGTGATTCTCGTGCCTCAGCCTCCTGAGTGGCTGGGATTACAGACGTGTACCACCACACCCAGTTAATTTTTGTATTTTTAATAGAGGTGGGGTTTCACCATGTTGGCCAGGCTGCTCTTGAACTCCTGGCCTCAAGTGATCCACCTGCCTTGGCCTCCCAAGGTGCTGGGTTTACAGGCCTTAGCCACCATGCCCAGCCCAGTAAGGTTTTAATCAAAGGAATAACATGATCAAATTTAATGACTCTGAAAAGACTGGAAACAACCTAAAGATCCAGTAGTAAGGTATTGCGTTGGTTATGGTGATCCATCTAATGGAATACTAAATACTAGACCACATTTTGTTTTTGAGACAGTCTTTCTCTGTTGCCCAGGCTGGAATGTAATGACACAATCTTGGCTCACTGCAGCCTCAGTCTCCTAGGCTCAAGCAATCCTCCTGCTTCAGCCTCTTAAGTATCTGAGACTATAGGTGCACGCCATCACACGTGGCTAATTTTTATATATTTTTGTAGATACAGGGTCTTGCTATGTTGCCCGGGCTGGTCTTGAACTCCTGGCCTCAAACAATCCTCCTGCCTCAGCCTCCCAAAGTGTTGGAATTACAGGACTGAGCCACTGTGCCTGGCTGTGCAACTTTTTTTGTTTTTTAATTAAGCACCTCTTTCTATTGCTATGAAAAGATCATGCAGAAGGGCGAGTATGATATGTTATTATTTGAATAAAAAGGTAAAGAGCCTGGGTGCAGTGGCTCATGCATCCCAACACGTTGGGAGGCCGAGGAGGGCAGAACAAGCCCAAGAGTCGAGACCAGCCTGGGCAACAAAGTGAAACCCTATTTCTACAAAAAAAAATTTTTTTAATTGGCGGGCTTTATGGCACATATCTGTAATCCCTACTACTTAGCTTAGCTACTCTGGAGCTAAGCTGGGAGGATCTCCTGAGCCGGGAAAGTAGAGTTCGCAGTGAGCCAAGATCATGCCACTGCACTCCAGCCTACAAGATAGAGCAAGACCCCATCTCAAAAGAAAAAAAAAGAAAAAAGGAAAGCTTGCTCTAGCAGTGGTATAAGAGGGTAGATTGGAAAAAAACAGACTAGAGGCAGAGGGCAAGTAGTCAGGAGGCCAGTTCCAAGGCCAGGTGAGAAATACTCAGAACCCAAACCGGGAGAGCAGTAGTGGAAAAGATGATGAAAGACTAGCAGAGATAGATGGGAGACAATCTGGAGTCCAGTTGATTTCAGAGCTGATAGAGTTTCACATGACATGCAGTTTTCTCATTATCCAGGCATGCTGAAGTGTACCCACAGCCCTAGCTACTTGGGAAGCTGGGGTGGGAACATCACTTGAGCCCAGGAGGTCAAGGCTGCAGTGAGCAAAGGTCACGCCAGTATACTGCAGCTTGGGTGGCACAGTGAGTCCCTGTCTCTAACAGAACACAGTAATAATAATACAGTTTTCTCTCTCAGGCAGCTAGATGAATTGAGTCATTCCTCAAGATAGGTTATATGGCTGGGCACGGTGGCTATGCCTGTAACCCCTAGCACTTTGGGAGGCCAAGGTAGGCAGATCGCCTGAGGTCAGGAGTTTTGAGAAAAGCCTGACCAACATGGCAGAACCTCGTCTCTATTAAAAATACAAAAATGGGCTGGGCGCGGTGGCTCAAGCCTGTAATCCCAGCACTTTGGGAGGCCGAGGCGGGTGGATCACGAGGTCAAGAGATCGAGACCGTCCTGGTCAACATGGTGAAACCCCGTCTCTACTAAAAA